TTTTTGGAAATTTTGAACTTTTTTCAAAGCAATCGCACTGCTTTAGCGTTTAGCTGCATAGATTTAGTACGGCATCGTGCCTTAAGGCAAATTACTGAAACTTCCCGTACGAAAATTACATTTTTTTAAAAAAGATTAATTTTTGTTAAACTTTGAAAAAACATAGATTTTTGAGAAATTTTAAATTTCTGAGTAAAATTGACTTTTTTGGAAAAAAGACGTTGAGAAAAAATTTCTTTATTTTGAAATATTTTTCAAAGTTGAGTTAGCTGCATAGATTTAGTATGGCATCGTGCCTTAAGGCAAATTGCTGGAACTTTCCGTACCAAAAATTACATTTTTTAAAACGGATTAATTTTTTTTTTTAATTTGAAACAATAGATTTTTGAGAAATTTAAAATTTTGAACAAAATGACTTTTTTGGAAAAAAAGACTGAAAAAAAATGTTTTCTCTATTTTAAAATATTTTGGAAATTATGAACTTTTTTTCAAAGCAATCGCACTGCTTTAGCTGCATAGAGACGAAATATAGAAGCGCGTAAGCGCCGCGTCGACGTCTAACGGACCTTACAGAACCCATAGAAATGTAAAGAAAATTGATAATTATTGTTAAAATCTCTATAAAATAACTGATAATTTGATGTGCCTATGTATATATGTCTAATGATCATTCTTGACTGCCAAATGGCATTTTTTTTTGTACTAAATCTCCGAAACCACTAGACCTGCCTTTCCAAAAAATTCAATCAGTTCTTCATCTTATCAATACAACTAGTCTTTTTTAAATCATTAAAATCGGACGCTCCGTTTTTGTAAAAACTGAGTTACCGTTTTTGGCACTTTTTGCCCCGTGTCTTCGAAACGGCTGGATTTGCCTTTGCCAAAAACTAATTAGCAAGTCTTCTTATCAATAGAAATCGAATATTTTTTGAAAAATTGAAATTGGTCGGTTAACTTGAACCGTGTTCCCAAATCGTCGACCAAAATTTGTATCCACACACATATATCCATTTTTTTCTAAGGTATGCCAAAGTGTTCAGAAACCTTTGAAACGTAAAGATATATAAAAATTTTCAGTTTCGATTTTTCTGCGATTGCTATAACACTTACCCTACGTGAAGTTAATAATAATTTACTAAAAGTTGAATGATATATATATTTAAAAAAATATAGTGCTTCGTATTCATAAATTTGTGAGAGAATACAAATATGTCTACAATATTCAAAATTAAATCTTGAATAACAAATCAATTTGTTGGAACAGTAAGGAATTGTTTAATCAATTGGAAGGGTAAGTTCAATTATAGTATCATATATATTATATTTATCAAACCTGTATGTTTTCTACTGTGCACTAAACACATGTAAGACGTCTTAAACCTTTTATTAACAAGTTTACATTTATAGGTCGTTCACCGTATGTATTCGCATGTGAACATTGAAATCACTACTTCTAAAAATGTTTTGCCGCAACTGTAACAAGAAATGGACTACCTGAAAGAAAAAACTAGTAAGGTAATTATGTAAAAAAATACTTCTATAAAATAAATTACCATCATGATTTTTTAAATGTCTAACAAGTCCTTTATAGCTCTCGAATCGTTTTGGACATTTTATACATTGAACTGATTTATCTGTAGGATGTGCTTCTGTATGAAGCAACAGCTTTGAGAAGGAATGAAAATTTCTTTGCAAACTATGCATACGTGGTTTTGGGTTTGCCTAAATTGTACAAATATTTATTTAAAAACAACCTTGTTTATTAAGGGGCACAACTGGTGTAATCGCCTAAAAAAGGTGATTTTTGGGAATTTATATTAAAAAACTACTTTATCACCATTTCAAAATTTTAGGAATTATTTATACATTTTTTAAGAATACATAGTAAATTATTGAAGAAAAAAATTAAATATTTTTTAAGTTATCGTCGATCTCCAACGGCGCGACAAAAAAAGGCCCTTTACTCTGCTGCAGTGATTCCGGCCTTCTAAGTGTATGAAATTTAAAAAAATCTCGTTAAACTAGATAATATTATCTGTAAAATAAACTACGATAAAGAAAAAATAAGAAATTGACAAAATGACGGCGTTTTTTAAAAAAAGTCGAATTTTACCCAAAATTTTGGTCGTTTTCGGACTGCCAAAATTCGATTTTTGATCCGATAAAAATCGATAGTTCATTTTACGGAGAACTATATATAGAACATGTAAAAAAAAATTGATAGTGATCCGGATTATTTGTTTTTGAGTAATCGCTGCAGCAAATTCGGAAATGCTGTTTCGAGAAAAACGCGTTTAAAGATTAAATGATCGTTATACTATATATTATATATATATATTGTTTAAATGCTTGCGACTCAAAACTATTTAAGATATCGTTTTAAACTTTTGGTATGTTATTTTTAAAGGTATAACCTACCGAAATATGGAAAAATTGAAAATTCGATTTTTTGAAAATTTCACACTAGTTGTGCCCCTTAAATTTAACTATTCATATAAAAAGTACCTCTGACATTTTTAACCCGTGTATCTTTTATTCTTTCAGATTCATTATTCAAACTGAAGGCAACAGAATGTTTTGATGCATCATCCAAATTTAATTCCAAAATACTATCTACGTCTGGATTTGTTTGATGCTGTGACAATGGTGACTGGGATGTGGATTCTTTTAAATAATCTTTTAAGGACTGTTCATTATTTAAGCATTTTTCTTTAAAGTTAAAATGCTTTATTAGTTCTTCTCGGCATTTGGTGCATATGTTGCAAGGTAAGTTCTCATTCATCAGAATCTATATAGTGATAAATGGGTTATGAATGATGAAATATAAATAATGGTAGTAATACTTTCATCTTCTTTATATATAAATATATATATATATACTAGCTGACCCGGCAAACGTTATTTTGCTAGGTAAGGTATATTCTAGAGAATCAAAAAAATTAATACTTGAAGTGTATAAGGATGTTTGTTGTTTGAATGCTATATACAATGAGGTATTATAAAAACAATAAACCCCATTAGTTTGTCTATATTTTGTCAATACAATCAAACTGGAAGTTTTATACACTTTCTATAGAAAACATGGTATAATCCAATCCAAGTCTTTTTTGGCCTTTCGACTTATTGATTATGTTTCAAGTTTTTCAGATTCTTTTTGCATTCTGGATTTTGTGTATCATTGTAAATAATACTACTGAGCTTATAAAAAAATTTCAAATTTCTGCGAGGAGAGATAGAAAATGAATTAAGTATTTCTTCTTTGACCTGCTTTTTGAAAAGTTTCAAGTAACATTTGATGGCACTGGAATTTTGTATTAAATTAAACCATTTGATAATGTAATGTAAAATATCATTTACTAATGGTTATTTTTCACTAATTTTTAAGAACAAAGTTTTTATCAAAGAATGGATAGTGATATATGAAGATCCAGGGTAAATAAGGTTTACCACCGTCTCAAAGTAAAGTTAAGCATCAGTCAATAACAATATTTGAAAGTAGAGGTAAAAAGATGTATAACCAGCTATAACCTTGATTCTTATGGCTTTGCTATCGGAAGATAAACGGTAATCTTTGAAAAACCATAATAAAAGTATTTTCTTTCGTTGTTAGTTTTCTGGGTTGTGAGCGCTGGAGTTAATGTAAAATTTAACTATACGCTATTTAATTGTTTTATAAAATGTAATTGTTGAAGTTTGATACTAAACGCTCTGTGTCTACTATGTTTATGTATACATGTTTGTCTTTTGTTTTATGTAAAACATGTGATTGTTAATAATATTTGTAATGCATGTGATTAGTTAAAGAATATATAATCAGTCAGTCTGTTTTTATCCTTCTGCATAAACGGTTGTATTATTATTCACATAAATTCTACAGTAATGTTGATTTTAAGTGAAATTAAACAGTTTTTTTTTTATAAAACCACTTTAAAAGTTTACACCTGGGAAGGGGTTTTTATTGTTTTTGTATTACCATTTGACTTATTTCAAAAAAAATCTAGCAAAACATTACATGGTAAAACAGCATTTGCCGGGTCAGCTAGTACTATAATAAAAATGCATTAACCTTAACTTGAGTAATGTTTTCATACATATAACGTATGTGGTCAAAATCATTTAATACAGTATCACACACAGTTTTTAAACAAACCCTACACACATTTCGTATTTCAAAATTTTGCAAACCATCAAACATGTTTTATTTATAAAAAAAACTATATTTACTTTTATAAAAAACAATAAATAGCATAAATAAAACTGTAAAACACAAAATTTATAGGTTAAATGTCAGTTTTGTTTACAAATAACACGAACTGTCAAAAGACTCCATTACGAATTCAAAGATGGCGCCGATTTGACGTTTGACATATGACATGTCAAAATGACAAACCTTTTCATTGTACTTTGTTCAATTTGTATAGTTTCATCACATTGAAAGTTTTCCTTTAAAAAAGAAGAGTTTGGCAAAAAAAATACAAAAGTGTTAGAGATTTACCACCATGGAAGCGGTGCCGAGGCTTCCTATGATCAGTTTTGATCTAAAAACTAGTCCCGAGCCACCACAATTTGCACCGAAACTTAAGCAGGTAAAACTGTGTTTACAAAAAGAATTCACTAATGTTTTGGGATATATAATATTATAATAGGCTATAAAACTCATATTCGACTAAAGCAGTAGTACAGTATTGTTGTTTTCTAGTTGATAGCAAGCATTAAACAAATGCTCATTGTATACGCCTTGTTAGTCATTAGCTGTTAACCTATAAAAATTACACAAAATGTCCAATAAACTTCGCGAAAGAAAATATAGTAATAATTTAAGTTCTAATCATTAAATTTAAGCAGGTTATACTATGTTCATAAAATGTTTTCCAAGAGCTTGCATAAATGATGACTTACAATTATCCCTACCTCACCCCGACAAAAGAACATACCACTACACAAAACATTAGAAATAGAAAAATATATACTAATATTCAAAATAAAAAATTACAAAATCAGAACTTGCACCACAATAGAGACAAACAAGGATATACACGACCATCAAACGAGACAAAACCGAAACTTTCACATGAAACATGCAAAAACTAGTAAAGGACTTGCAAGTCCTCTGAGAAGTGCAAGCAGCCTTTACAATAAGCTACCGGACGAACTTAAGACAATGACGAACCGAAACAATTTCAAAATTAAATTGAAAAATTACAAAAGAGATAAATGAAATAAACGAGATAAAATTCCTTATTTTAATTACTATATTACTTCTGTTTTGTAAAAATTTTAATTACAATTAAGTATAAGTATGTATGTATGTACGCAAGCGTTCTGTGTATATATGTGTGTATAATAGTAATAAGTAAAAATATATAGATGTCTTAATGTAAGTCTGTTACATCAAGTTTAGATTTTATTTTTGAAGTAAAAGTTCTTTAGGCGCGACATGGGTGTAAAAACTTCTTTAGGCGCGACATGGGTTAGCAGTATAATTCGTGAGTTAATAAAAATGTCAGGATTGGAAGAATATTTTATCTCGTACCCCATAAATAATTGTAGTGCAAATGATCGCAAATAAATAATGAAACTAAGGAAAAACCTGCGCTGCGTAAGAAATGATAGCTTTGGCTATGTATGTTTTGTGTGTGATCGACTTTGGCTTCAAAGTGACTTAGAAATATCAAATGATGCTCAAAAATAAATTCTTAATAATGTTTTTTGAATATTGATTCAAATAATCAGGTTGGATGTCAAACTTGTCGAATGATATTAAATCCGGGTAAAATTCCCACTTTGTGTAAATTTAATGGGTTTGTATTTCCGCCTATACCAAATTATCTACCTAATATAGATACTGTATCTGAAAGGTTAATTTCACCTAGGTTGTGTTTCGTGCAAATTAGACGATTGCGACATGCAAATGGACAATTTAGAATATTTGGCCAAATTATAAATGTGCCTGTTGACGTTAATAATATGGTTAATTTGTTACCTCGTAATATTGATGATGATCATTGCATTAACGTTCACATAAAAAAGCAAATGATTCATAGATCAAGCTATGTGCAGGGCTTGATAAATAAAACAAATATAAAAGTATGGCTTCAATTTGTTAGTTAATGAGATTATATCGTCAGCGAAAAAATAAAAAAAATACAAATAGTAAATGAATGTATGTTAATTTTAATTACATGAAGTTCTTCAAACACAATTATTACATAATGAGTTGCAAAAACAATATTTGTTTAGGCGTTGTTTAACATAATCCACTGTGTGAATGAATATTATAGAATTTATTAATCAGCAATTATTTTAAAACGATCATTTCATATTTCAAGTACGACTTTGATTACATTATTGTTTGTAAATACTATACATATTTTTAATGCAATCATAAATATATAATTTATAATTTATCGTTATATAAATGTGTATAATGATTGACGACACTAATAAATAAAAAAAAAAATGCTAAACAAGTATCAGTCACCATATTCGATATTATAACATAGTTATATTTTTTACTATTTATCACTAATCCATATTAAATTCTACTTGCAGTACATTGCTGAATTTTACCACGAGGATCCCGAAAGCTACAACAATGAATTTCACGCATTGGAGGGATTACGTGCAGTTGCTGTGCGTCCAGCAAAAGATGTTACCGGTTGCTCAGTCCTAAAAAGATATTATGCGCAGCTACATGCTTTGCAAGGAAGATTTCCAATGGAGAAGGGGCAGCCTATGGCTATATCTTTTACTTGGTATAATTCATACTTATAACAGACATATATCAGATAACAGTTTTATTTATGTATTGTTTTGATTTTCAGGAAAGATATATACACTTCTTCGTCGGTCTCGGCTAATGATATCAGGTTTGAGATTGGGGCAGTACTGTACAATATTGGTGCTCTGCACACTCAATTGGGAGCAGCTGATTCCAGAAATAGTGCTGATGGGATGAAATTGGCATGCACTCATTTTCAATGCGCTGCTTGGGCATTTCAGGTAAAAAATATGAACAAAGCTCTTGTAATGATGTGAATGTATTAAAATTATATAAATACTAGGGAATGCAATACCGGTATACCGAATTACCGGTAAACCGCCCGATTTTTCGGCGGTAATTTTACCGGTATTTACCCCAAAAATACTGGTATTTTCGGTATTTTTACATAAGTGCTATTTGATACAAAATACACTAAAGTTTAAATTTCTCGGAACAAATTTGTCTTTAAATTCCATAATTGCATAAACAGCTATATCTTCAAGTGATTCTATAGGATAAACAAATGTCAAATATTATCTCAACTCGTCATTAAACTGAATATTTATTGCTTTACTAAGGGCTTCATATCGTGTTACAATAAATAGAATTGGACTGATAGATAATGATGTTTGTTTCCTCTTTTGTAAAAATGTAACGGTTATTTTAAGTAATATTTGTGTCAAAATATTTTATATCATACAGATTACCACTGCGTTATATTTTTTTCTAACTTTATACATAATAATTATGATAATTACTAAATATTTTTGCTTCTTATTACAATTATAAAATATTATTTTTCGAAAACGTTTCAAAGTTTGAAAATACTATAGAAGCATCACAATGTGATAAATAACAATACTCAACAATTATAGTAACTTATTATTTATCTGGACAAAGTATCCGATCTTAAATTAGTGTAGAAAAATTTTTTTTTAAATATTGGAGATTATGCTAATTTACCACATCGGGCACAGACAATACAGTTTATTATAATAATGTAATATGATATTTTATGAGTTTTTGGTCTTTCTTGCTCATAAGTTCGTTTTTGGTGAAAAGTACTCAATATAGTGATAATGAATTAAATTGGATATAATTTTGTTAAATTATTAGTTAAAAAAATAAACTTATTGTTTTATTTTATAGTTTTTATTGTTTAGTTGAATATAGTTGTAGTTGTATATGCATTTTTTATATTTGTACTAGTAACTTTCAATTTTGTTTACGTTTGTGTAAGATAATAAAAATACCGGTAATTTACCGGTATTCCGGTTTTAAAATGAAAAATTACCGAAATACCGGTATTGAAACTTTCCATCGGTATTACATTCCCTAATAAATACTAATACTGAATAATGTGTTTTAGCATTTGCGAGAAAACTATTGCCAAGTTGTTAGTGAGGATTTATGTTCAGAAATAATGACATTTATGACTTCGTTGAGTTTTGCTCAAGCACAAGAGTGCATTTTAGAAAAGTCTATGGCTGATAATAGAAAAGCTACTATTGTAGGTAAGGATAAGGATAAAGATTTTCATATATTTAATTCTTAAAACAAGTTTTACAACAGAAAATTATTTTAGCTCGAATTGCTGTTCAAGTGGTGGATTACTACGGTCTGGCGTTGGCTGTTTTGTTGACTGGTGGTGACGATGGACCAGTTGCAGATACTGTTGGATCCAAAGTGTACAAGGAGTGGAAGAAATATATACAATTTAAGGTATGAAAATTATTTATTATACTTTAAACACATCTTTCAAATAAAACAGAATATATCTCAGTTTTATTTTATAGATTGCATATTGTGGCTGTGTTTCCCTCTTATACCAAGGACAACAAGCAGAAGAACAGCAAAAGATGGGCGAACGTGTTGCATTTTATCAAGCTGCATTTAATAGACTCGAGGAAGCAACAAAACTTGCTAAGGGAATGCCTAATGCAGAGGTAAGGAATTTATCACTTTTTATACTCCAGTCAGTGGAGCGTTTTGGGTCAGAATTTTTGAAGTAAAATTTCTTTAGGCGTGACATGGGTTAGCAGTATAATTTGTGAGATAATAAAAATGTCAGGATCGGAAGAATATTTTATTCCGTCCCCCATAAATAATTGTAGTGCAAATGATCGCAAATAAATAAAGAAACTAAGGAAAAATCTGCGCTGCGTAATAAATGATATCTTTGGCTATGTATGTTTTGTGTGTGATCGACTTTGGCTTCAAAGTTGCTTAGAAATATCAAATGATGCTCAAAAACAAATTCTTAATAATGTTTTCTTAATATTGATTCAAATAATCAGGTTGGATGTCAAACTTGTCGAAAGATATTAAATTCGGGTAAAATTCCCACTTTGTGTAAGTTTAACGGGTTTGTATTTCCACCTATACCAAATTATCTACCTAATATAGATACTGTATCTGAAAGGTTAATTTCACCTATACATAGATCAAGCTATGTGCAGGGCTTAATAAATAAAACAAATATAAAAGTATGGCTTCAATTTGTTAGGCAAGACGGATATTACAGCTGTTCAAGGAAAGAGATTATATCGTCAGCGAAAAAGTAAAAAAATACAAACAGTGAATGAATGTATGTTAATTTTAATTATATGAAGTTCTTCAAACACAATTGTTACAGGATGAGTTAATTTGCAAAAACAATATTTGTTAAGGCGTTGTTTAATATAATCCACTGAATGAATATTATAAAATTTATTAATCAGCAATTACTTTAAAACGATCATGTCATATTTCAAGTACGACTTTGATTACATTATTGTTTGTAAATATTATACATATTTTTAATGTAATCATAACTATATAATTTATAATTTATCATTATATAAATGTGTATAATGATTGACGACACTAATAAATGTGTGCATCACGAGTGTTACCATAGTACTAATAAACATTATTCAAAATTTTTATATGATGTATTTATTTTTACTCAACTTAAATTTGGTACTTTATACAGTAGCAAATAAGTTTTACTTCAATCGCGTGTGATCCTTACGCGCACTCTTTTTTTTATACTGTGCTCTGATTTCCATTAAATTTTGGAATTAGGTTCATCTTACCCTCAAGTTTGAAAGTGAAAACAATTTAGATCCTTTGTTTCCTCCATTTACTACACTATTAGTATTCCACAAGCTTTTATCATAATTATATCAAAATAATTTCTGCAAATAGGCAATTGCTGATGCTCTAAACTTCACTAATGATGTTGTCGAGGGTAAGAGGAAGGCTGCAAAGAATGAGAATGAATTCATTTATCATGAAGAAGTTCCAGAGATGTCTGCGCTTACTCAAGCTACTGGAGCACCTCTTGTCAAAGGCATAGCTTTTAGTGTTACTGACAAAGATGTAAGATATTAATGTATATATGTACTTCTATTGGGATAAACACTTTTTATTGCATTTAAACCAAATGTATATTTACTATATAATTTTACTAATTGAGGTTTGTTCCGCTTTTTATATTTTATTGGTAGGTGCTCGGTGAAGATATATTCAAGAGATTAGTTCCAATCAGCGCTCATGAAGCCTCCTCTATTTACTCTGAAGAAAAGGCACAATTACTACGTGATATTGGCAATAGAATTGAGACAGCAGACATGAACCTTCAAACGCATTTGAGTGCCTTGCACCTGTTAGGTCTACAAGTCATGGATGACAAGTAATTTAATATAAATCTTAACCATTAATTTGTTTTTATGTACCGCTGCTTTTATGATCACAACTATATTTTTTTTAGTATACCACAGGCATTGATTGATCGATGTGCAGCATTGAGTGCTCGTCCTGATACTACGCAGGAAATTACGCAAGCAATGGATCTTTTAGCAGAAACTTCGAATGAAGTCCAGGCTCAGTTGCTGGAAATACAGAAGTTACTTGAGGTATAAAAATTATACATGATTTTTTTTACTAAATTTAAGGGGGTCTTCCTATGTGACGGCCTGTTTTTTAGGGATATTTTAGGATTTTTTTTCTACGACCAGTAAATATTTAGAGCTTCAAGTTTCTCATCATTTATTAACACATATTTGGACAGTATAAATATAAAATTTCAGCTAAAAATATTCAGTCAAACTAGAGTTACGGCGCTCTGAACATCCCCGCCTCGAAAAAAAGAGCTCCCACTTCCTCCACGATTCCGGCAGTTCGGCTTATCAGAAAAAAAAAAATAAACGGCGTTTTAATTTGTAGGCTTAAAAGCACGGAATGACCTATAATCAAATGAATATAAAAAAAATTGGATTTTTGATAGACATTTGAAATAAAAGTTGCAAATTAGGCGTTTTTTTTTTGTTTTTTGCTATAAAAAAATCAAAGTTTTTATATTAATAATAGTTCATTCCATGCGTTTAAATATATTGAGTGTGCCCTGTAAATTTCAAGTAATTCGGTCCAGCCTTTTCTGAGATACAATGGAGGGAAGATTGAAAAACACAGTTTTGAGAAAAACGCGTTTAAAGTTTCTAACTGCCAACTCAGCGCTCCGAACCGCTCTTTCTTTTACCTGCTGTATCTTTAAAACGACTTCGAATTTTCTAAAATCGCTTTACTACCGTATTCTAGACATGTTAAGGGAGCAATTTATGAAAGAAAAAAAAATCGATTTTTTCAACCCATCACATAGGAAGACCCCCTTAATAGTGGAGATATCTACATAGTTTTATATTTTAGAAAGAAGATGAAAATGAAAAGAATTATGTGCAGTCAATGGGTGCCAGACCAATAAACTCTGTCATAATAGAAGTAACCAGAGAATTTAATAAATACAAGGAAGCAAACTCAAAAGCAGAAAGTTCAAATGATACATTACGACGGGCTATGTCGATGCATGTAAACAATTTGCAAGTTCTTGCTCAGCCGTTGAATGAACTTCAAGCCGCTCTACCTAAGATCAAGGAAGAAGATGGTATATAATTTTAAATAAAATAAGTTTATCTTTAAATAGTATTCTAGTAATACTAAATATTATGTTGAATTTCAGCTCTGAATGAAGAATTAAAGTTAAAACTTCAAGGAATACTAAACAAAGTTGATGAAATGAGAAAGCAGCGCATAAGTCTTTATAATCAATTTCGTGAGGCTACTCTTGCTGATGATATCACTGCAAAGTTAGTTGCTTGGGGAGATAAACCGTCTGAGGAATTATTCCAGAAAGAGCTTCAGAAACATAAGGACATGGTAATTACATAAATATCTTATATCCAATATATATATATATATATATATATATATATATATATATATAGGTTGTCAAATATCTCCCTTCCGCCTTTTTGTATTATAAACCAAGAGCAAAAAAGCGGAAGGGAGATATTTGACAACCTAATATATATATATATATATATATATATATATATATATATATATACTAGCTAACCCGGCAAACGTAAAAAATATGCCTAAATTGATAAGAAATTAATAAAAGTGCCGAAAATCAAATATTTAATAGATTTGGACTCTGATTCTTTGACAAATAGTTAAAAACTTGTTATAATTTTCAAAATTATTTGACATTTCATACTTCAAAAATTAATTCACTCGCATCATAGTTTTTTGTTTATTATACTTTTGTCATAAAATTTTACTTCAAATATTATTTATTTGTTAATAAATTATTAATTATTTTAAGTCATCAATGAATAATTATATAATTGTTAAATTCATAAGTTTGGCTAAATCAACACAGGAATATTGTGGAAATAAATATTTTTTTACATAAAGATCTGATTTTTGACATTTGCATTTTATTTCAAATTAATTATAACTGTCAAAATATTTTCTTTTCGGTCAAAATTCAATATAATATGATATAATATTTAGTTTGTCTAGTTTGATTTTGTCAGATTCCAATGATACCCTCAGATTGTACTATTCCATTTAAGAGGTTACAATTTCCTGTAAGATTAGCATTTGCGATGACAATCAAAATATATCTCAACTCATATATTAATAATAATATTAAATTTTAATTACACAAATTTCTTTACGCTCCGATAAATAATTCCAACGCTTCATAGTGTTTTGTTTATTTTAATTTTGTTTGTCAATTTTTTTTTAATTAAAGAATAAATTAAATTTTAGTCTAAATCAATGCAGTATCTTTATCTAAATATACAATTTTTTGTATAAATATTTGATTTTTTACATTTGCATTTAATTGAAAAATAGTGAATGTCAATTTCATATATCCAATATGCAATAAATTTATAAATGTCAAAATATTCACTTCTTGGTCCAAAATTAATATATTATGATAATATCTATTTTACAATAATGTTTTGTATCTATAATTTGTTTGGCAATATTGCCAATAACATAACTTGGAATAATTAATTTGCTTCTTATTGAAGTAAGTCGTTAAACATTTTTTTGTGAAATGTCAAAATTTTGTTTATGATTAAAAATTAATGCTTAAAAATTTGAATAAATTTTGACATGTAAAAAAAATTAAATGTCATTTGTCAGTATTTATGAAAATAATTATATAAATAGATTTACGATTTAGATTTAATTGATTAGCAGCTTACCAAATTATTTCAGAAACCAAAACTTCGTCAAAACATTATAGATCAGAGATCACAATAAAAAAGCGGCATATTGAATTTAAAATTAATTTAATTTTAATTGAATTTTAATTTAATTTTAAATTCAATATGTCGCTTTTTTTTGTGATCTCTGATCTATAATGTTTTGATGAAGTTTTGGTTTCCGAAATAATTTGGTAACCTAATCGAATAAATATAAATTGTAAATCTATTCATCTAATACTTTCCATAGATATTGACAAATGACATTTCACTTTTTTTCAAGTCAACATTTATTCAAATTTTTAAGCATTGATTTTTAATTAGATTTCAAACTATAAACAGTGATTTTGAATATAGCATTTCATCAAATTTGGATTTAAATGTTGTATATTTCTATATATGTATATGTTTTTGAATTATATTTTTTGAACTGTCAAATATTTTTTGTCAAAAATCATAAATCTGTTTTTTCTCGAATTTTCCATAAATTTTGACATTTGTCATTTTAATGTTTTGTTTTTTTTTGGTCATTTTCTGTCAAAATTTTTAGAAATTTATAAAAATTATATATTCATATTTCAAATTTACTTTTCAAAATTTCCTATAACCTAAGTTGGATATATATGCACACGATGAGCCATTAAAATTTAAAATCAGTTCAGTAGTTTGGGCGTCCGTCGCGAACCAACATCGTGACACGAGATTTATATATATATATATATATATATATATATATATATAATTTTATTTTTAGGTAGCGTTACTAGACCAAAATATTGCCGCCCAAGAGAATATTCTAAAAGCTCTAACAGAAGCTTACGCTGAGTGTGCTCCTTATTTGAAACATCAAATGGAAATTATGCGAAAAAGAGAACATTTCTGTGCCAGTTTAGTCGCTTCCTTTGATGCATACGAAGACTTATTATCAAAGATGACGAAAGGAACCGATTTCTACAAGAAACTGCATACAAATGTATCGAAATTATTGGCGCGTGTGAAGAGCGTTACCAATGTCCAGCAAGAGGAAAGAATCGCTAGATTGCAAACAAAAAGTAATAATACATAAATGATAGAGAAAAACTAGCAATTGTATTAATATATTATTTTGTTTAGGTAACCCCATTAAGACTGAACCGAGTATTGCAAGTAATCAGAGTAAACCTGCTGCTAGTACTGCACCAAAACTAAAGGATTATTTGGCTGCTGGTTTCGGAACGGATTCATACAGAGTGCCAGGTGTTCGACCTCGTCCTCTCGGTTCTGAAGGTAGGTGAAATAAAATCTTTATCAAATGTAGTAACCATTGTATATTGTATTATCGAATTCCCGAAGGAGAAGTTTATGTTTTCATCAAAAAATGCGATTCGCTAATTTTGTTTTCTCCTGGACGTTTCTGAAGTCATTCTGAATCGAATGAAACCAAATTTATGGAAAATGTATGTGTGTGTGTGCGTGTATGTGAACAGATTTTTTGCCGTAAATCGACGTTTTCTCGAAAACGGCTGGACCGATTTCAAAAATTTAAAAGCCACTCGATGTATCTCTACGAGGACTATTGTCAATTTTGTGCGACGATCGGCCAAGCCGTTTCTTTATGAATCACAGAAAAGTGTTCGTTCGTTTTTAATTATGTGTAATAAATCCACTCTGAATACTTTTAATCACTCATAAATTAATTAATTTTTTATTGATTTGCCTCCAGACAAAATATCAATACCAACTAGTTAAATAAACTAAATAAAAATAGTTAAATAAACAAAAAATAAAATAACTACCTTTAATATCATGATTTTATTACTTTTTCTTCCGCTCGCAAAGAAATGGCAAAAATATACGTTTTTTTTTTGGTTGCTACAGTGGTGTAACCCTTAAAGCAAAATGCCACATACACCAAGTTTTTTTTTAACACTGTGTATTATTAACCTAAGCTTAATTAAATTTATTTTCAGGAACAACTGATCAAACTATGGACAATACAAGTTCTACTTATGCACAGCAGCCATATTATCAAAATATGAATATGGGACCTGTGTCATCTAACACACAAGTATATCAAGCTGATTTGTCGTCATATAATTCGATGAATTATGTAATGGATTATTCAAAATTTGGAACGGATCAATCAAATCAAGAAAAACCTGTTTTGTCCATGTCGGGATACAATTATCAGCAATATCTACCGAGTACATCGAATAAAACTAATACGATTGATGTATCGGCAAACATAATGAGCAATCAAAATTATAATAGTAATTTTGCAAATAAGTCTGTGCAGTATACGAATGCTTCAAATATACCGAATATTCCTCAAGAAATTCCGAATGCACAAAACACTTATTCACAAGGGATGCAGAATTTAACTCAGAACATTCAGCAAATGCAAACTTCATTACCTAACACTCAAAATTTGGCGCAAAATTATACTTCAATGGTGTCAAGTAATTCTTTGCCAAATAAAACACCTGAACAAAATTATGTATCAGCAGGAGGCAATGTTCAAAATTATGTTCAACCAGTTCAAAATCTGAACTATCAACAAGTTCCACAATCTTTTGCTAATAAACAAGATTATTCAGCAAATCAACAGATTATTAATAAGCTTGGTCAGCAAATGTCAAATTTAACCATCCAAAATCCACCGACTGTTAGTGGATACAGCACCATGTACCAGCAAAATCAGGCGGTATCAGTACCATCAAATTTACCATTAAGTTCTTCGGCTAATGTTCAATATAATCAAGCAATGTCGTACTCCGGACATCCTGGTTATTCGTACGATCCGTCTACTGGTTTATATCAATACAGCTCTGGATACCAAAATATGCAAATGTATGATAATCAGATGAGGAATTATACAGGAAACTATGGTGATCCAAGCCAAACTATTAATTCGAGTGGTAATTGGCAGCAGAATTATCAGTATACTAATGCTGGTAATAATTTGGGAACCAGTAATACGTTGTCTTCCCAAGCTGGACACTTAGGTATGTTTTTTTCTTATTTATTTATTAATTTTTCGAATGAGAAGTTTGTTTTTAACACACTATAGGCGCGCAACGTTATAATCGGTTTATATATGAAATTAATAGAGTTTGCTTGTATTTTTTTGTTCAAATGATTTATACCCTAGTCAAATTAAAGCTAAAATAGATAAATAGATAAATAATTTCATTAAATTATACTATTTAAACAGAAACCAAAAAACTCTTATTATTTACTTATTTCATGACGTTTAAAAGCTGCATATTATGAAGAATATGAATTTTTCAACTTTTCAAACGGCAATATCTCAGAAACGGTAATTCTAACAAAAAAAATTAATAATAACAGTTTAATAGAGAATTTTATAATAAATAAACTTATCTAACATAATTTTTAAAAAAAAAATATGGTTTCGGCGGAAAATGGGAAAAACTAGATTTTTGCACCTTTGACCTTTAATAAAAAAAATCGCAGATGTCGGATCGATGGGGACTTTTGACCATTTCATTTGTAATGGCCTATTTAACATCTGTACCAAATTTCAGCTCTATGCGAATTGTTCCTAACTGAAAACTTAATTTGACTGGGGTATTAGTCGTCTGTCGTTTATTTTAGTATACCTGTCCCCGTTTTACACGTTTCAGAAAAAACAGTGTACCTCGAAAAATTTATTTTTATATGGAAAAATCGTGCTAAACGAAAATTTCTATGAAAATGCCCTTTTTGCCAGTTTTTCATATGATGAATGACAAATACATTGAATGAAAAATAAATGATAATATATTTAAATTTAAAAAACGTGTATTTTGAAAAAAATATTTTTATATGGAAAAACCGTGCTAAACGAAAATCACTATGAAAAATCCCTTTTTGTCAGTTTTTCATATGATGAATGACAAATTTATTGAACGAAAAATAAATAATATATTTAATATCAAACATATTTAATACATTATAAGAAAATTAATTTATTTCAATAATAAAACAAATATAAAAAAAATATTATTAATATTGCATTTTCTTTATAGATAAAACTTAAAATTAAAAAGTGAATGCAAAATTAATACATTTCGTTAAAATAAGATTATTTTCAAAAACCGGGGATTAGGTGTATTACAGTATTTAGTATATTATTTATTTGTATACTTCAGTATAAGCTAGATTACATTTTAAAAGAAAATTAACTTATTTCAATAATATAACATATAAAAGAAACTAGTGTCAATATTACATTTTCTTTATAGATAAAACTTAAAATTAAAAAGAGAATGCAAAATTAATACATTTCGTTAAAAAAAGATTTATTTTATAGTAATTAGTATATTTCTTATTTGTATACTTTAGTATAAGCTAGATTGCATTTTATAAGTTAGGAAAAAAAAATTTGAATATCTATATAATAAATTTAAATATTTTATAGGAACGTTTTTCTGGTAATAGACAATGTGTGAATTTTGGACATTTTATAACATTTTTTGAATACCTTTGAATTTTTTCTCCGGCCGCTATGTTTTATATATTTTAGTAAAAACTAGATAAATTTTACTAAAACTTAGTATAACCTATAGTTTACACTTGCATATTAAAATTTTGAATATTTCGTAGTTGAAATGCGGACTTTAGTACCTTGAACACTTGCGATAAATGATTTTATAATATTTTTTAATTTTCTTCAAACATTTTTATTTCGGACATATTTTTTTACATTAGCAAAAACTAGATAAAATTTACTAAAATATGGTAAAAACTGTCATATACACTTGGATATTGAATAATTCGTAGTTGAAATGCGAACTTCAGTATTTCCATAACTTGCAATATGTATATGATTTTGGGACATTTTTTAGTTTTATTCAAATAACTTTTAATTTTCTTCTACGACATTATAATTTGTTTACATTTGTAAAAACTAGATAAAATTTACAAAAATCTAGTAAAAACTGTAATATACACTTGGATATTTAAATTTTGAATAATTCGTAGTTGAAATGCGGACTTTAGTCAAAATTAGCAATATATGGATTTAGGGCATTTTTTTAGTTTTCTCCCAATACCTTTTGATTTTTATTTTGGACATTATAATTTGCTTACTTTAGTAAAAACTAGATAAAATTTACAAAAATCTAGTAAAAACTGTAATATACACTTTGATATTGGAATATTGAATAATTCGTAGTTGAAATGCGGACTTTAATATTTTTATAGTTTACGATACATGGATTTGGTAATTTTTTTTTTACTTTTTTTTCAAAAAAAATTTTTTATAAATATTTAATAATTATAATATGATTTCATTTGTAAAAACTAGATAAAATTTACAAAAATCTAGTAAAAACTGTAATATACACTTTGATATTGAAATATTGAATAATTCGTAGTTGAAATGCGGACTTTAATATTTTTATAGTTTACGATACATGGATTTGATAATTTTTTTTTTTACTTCCGGACATTATAATATGCTTACGTTATTAAAAACCAGATAAAATTTACTAAAATTTAGTAAAAACTGTTTCATACACTTTGATATTGAAATTACGAATAATTTGTAGTTGAAATGCGGACTTTAGTGCAGTAATATAATAGTTAATTATATATTAATACTAATTAATACATTTAACGTTTTACTCTATTACTTTACCTATACATTTAACTCTATTACTCCTATAGTTTACTTTATTGCTTTGAAAAAATTCAAAGTTTCCGCTTTTTATATATAAAAAAATTATATTTTTAGAAAAAGTCCTACTTTTTTCAAAAAAAATCTTTTTTTTTTTCAAAAATTTTACATTTCTCAAATTAAGAATTTAAGGGGCACAACTAGTTCAGAAACCTTTGAAACGTAAAGAAATGCAAAAATTTTCAATTTCGATTTTGGACGATTACAATAACTTACCCTAAGGGAAGTTAAAAATTTGATTACCATATTTTACTTCCAAGCATAAACATGTATTACGTACGTATTAAACTAAAAACTAAATAAATTTAATCAAATTCTCCGTGACTATTAAAAAAAATATGAAATTTATATTATAAAATTTAGAATTTTTGAATATTGACTCAAAAATTGCACATACTAAGTATTTTTATTTTTTGCCTAAAAAATGGTGATTTTTGGGAATTTATATAAAAAAACTGCTTTATCAATCATTTCAACATTTTAGGAATATATTTATACATGTTTTAAGAATACATAGTAAAATTTTTGAAGAAAAAAATTAAATATTTTTTAAGTTATCGTCGATCTCCAACGGCGCGACAAAAAAAAGGCCCTTCACTGCTGCAGTGATTCCGGCCTTCTACGTGGATGAAATTAAAAAAAAAAATCTCGTTAAACTAGATTAATATTGTATGTAAAATGAATTACGATAAAGGAAAAAAATAAAAAATTGACAAAATGACGGCATTTTTTTAAAAAAAAGTCGAATTTTACCCAAAATTTTGGTCGTTTTTGGACTGCCAAAATTCGATTTTTGATCCGATCAAAAAGTCGATAGTTCATTTTACGTAGAACTATATATAGAACATGTAAAAAAAATTCGATAGTGATCGGATCATTTGTTTTTGAGTAATCGCTGCAGCAAATTCGGAAAATGCTGTTTCGAGAAAAACGCGTTTAAAGATTAAATGATCGTTATACTATACACTATATATATACTCTTTAAATGGATGTAACTCAAAAACTATTTAAGATATCGGTTTAAAATTTTGGTACGTTATTTTTAAAGGTAAAACCTAACGAAATATGGAAAAATTGAAAATTCGTTTTTTTGAAAATTTCACACTAGTTGTGCCCCTTAATATTTGGTACGAGAAGTTCCAGCAACTTGCCATACACCACTAGTTAACTTTCCGAATGAGAAGTTTATGTTTTTAATATGTGTTTATAATATATATTTATTTATTTTAGGTCAAAGTTTTGCACAGCAGTATGCTTCTAATGCTTCGCAAATTAGTGCTGATCAGTATTATTTACAAATGTATGGAGCTGCAGGAGGCAGCATGGACGGCTCAAACATTGCTGCTCCATCAGCTGTTTATCCGCTCACCCCTCAAAGTCCAATGACTTATATGAACTCTGGTGCTAGTATAACGAATACAACTTTCAGCCAAGGTAAAATTAATAGTAACCGAATTTGAAGAAATAATTTTGAGTAACTCCTTTTATTTGCAGATTCTGCAAATTCAAATCCAACAACGTCTCAGAAACATTCCGCAGGAGTCCAAAGTAACGTGGATTTATTAGCTGGCTTAGATTTTTCTTCCTCCGTACCGATATTAACCCCTGAACAAAATTCGGTTTTAAACAAGAAATCTGAAAATGATCCAAAAAACTTGAGTAGTGCTGACACCAAACAAATATCTGGTGTCAGCACTAATAAAAATTCCAATGTTAGGGAAGAAGAAAAAAATATTGCTGAGAAAAAAGCCGCCGAGAAGACAGAGGATATTAAAATAGAGCCGAAAAATATTAAGACTGAGAAACAGAATAAATTATTGGATCTGCAACAAACTCCGAGCAAGGAAAATTTAGTTATGTTTTTACATGAGGTCGAGAGACAAGAGAAGTATTTAGAAGGCATCAGCACGAAAACTTTAAATGGGCCGACACCTTTGGAAACTAAATGGAAGGAACTTCAAGATTTATTGGTAAACATAATGTTCAAGTTGCAACATTTTTCAACATTACATTTCATTATCTAATATATTTAATATATTTATCTCTTTGCTAGATAATTTCTAATATGAATTATTAACTTCCCGAAGGAGAAGTTAATGTTTTCATCAAAAAATCCGATTCTCTAATTTTGTTTTCTCGACGTTTCAAACCATTCTGAATCGAATGAGACCAAATTTGGAAAAAGTATGTGTGTGTATGTTTTTGTGTGCGTGTATGTGAACAGATTTTTTGTCGTAAATCGACGTTTTCTCGAAAACGGCTGGGCCGATTTCAAAAATTTAAAAGCCATTCGATGTATCTCGACGAGAACTATTGTTTCTTTATAAATCGCAGAAAAGTGAAAAATTTTTCGTCTACGTTTTAGCCCGCAATTCTGAATGGATTTTGAAAATTCAAAAACCGTTCGAAAGATATTGGTTGGGAATCGTGCAGATTAGTTTTTGGTAGAGATCGGCCGGGCCGTTTTCTTGTAATAATGTTTTAAAAAAAAATATTCGACGATTTTTATGATTATTTTTTTGACGGTAGATACCATAGTCTTCTAAATCACACTAAAATATTACAGCCCTACGACAACTGGTTCAGCTTTAAAAAATTGTCAAAGTTTGCAAAAATTGGTATCGTTTTTTTGGCATTTGTCAAAATTAGACTTTTGATCGACGTTTTCTCAAAAACGCCTGAACCGATTTTAGAAATTTAAAAGCCATTTGATGTATTTCGTGAGGACTATCGTTTGTCAGTTTTGTGCGACGATCTGCCAAGCCGTTTCTTTGCAATTTGAAGAAAAATGTTAAACTTTTTGTCCACATTTAAGCTCATCCTACCGAACCGATTTTAAAAAATCAAAAACTATTCGAAAGATATTAGTTGGGAATGGTACTGATTAATTTTAGGTGAAAATCTATCGAGCCGTTTTCTTGTAATTAACTGTTGAAAAAAAAATTTTAAGCCGATTTTCATGGAACTTTTTTTGGCGATATACATCATGGTCTCATAGAACTTACTGTAATATTACGGCCTTACGACAAGTTGTTTAATTTTAAAAATTCGTCAAACTTTGCTAAAATTATTATCGTTTTTTTTTAAGTAGGATTGATGAAGTATATTATATACACATTTTTTATTGATTAAGTCGATTATTTAGACATATCGGTAAGTTCATGTAACTTGCCTCAAGGCTAAATACCAAACCAACTAGTTTATTTATTTATTTTAGGCATTAGATGTGTCTTCAAAAAGTATATCAGTAGCAAGGTGCTATCCAGCAAAAAATCGTTGCCCTGATCACTTGCCTTATGATCAAACGAGAGTGCAGCTGCCGGATCCTAACAATGATTATATTAATGCTTCTTATGTAAAGGTCAGTAGGTTTATTATTCTTAATATATATACATAGCTGGGCATTACTCGTTAATCCGTTAATCGTTAATTAACGAAGTTAACATTTTGATTAACGGATTAACTTTTAAGTTAACTTTTGAAAATGTTAACGGACACGTTAACTTCCGTTAAAATGCCAGAAGTCCGTTAATCGTTAATCCAATGCCCAGGACCGTGCCTGGCCAGCGTGCAGTGCGTGCACCGCCAAATGAAAAAAAGAACAAATTCAAAGACGGCCATAACAAAAAATGGTCGAAATAAATAGCTGTTGCATTAAAAGTCTACTGAATTAAAAGGCGGCCAAATTAAAAGACTGTTGGATTAAGAGGCGGCCAAGCTCAAAGTCCGCTGAACTCATTCGCTGCCGTAAAGTCCGCTGTATATATCTAAAAGACCAAAAATACCGTAGTAAAAATCAGCCAAAGGCGGCCCTATTGAATGCGACTCTGTTTCTAAATAATTTATAAGTTATAAACTTGGTGTAAGTGGCAACTTTGCCTAAATCAAGTTGCATGAAGTATCCAAAATGTGTTAATAATCGACTTAACGATGAAAATATATTAATTCATGAGTACATTGCAATGTGAAAAACTATCGCAGATTATTCAATTTTGTACAAATTTTTTAAAAATATTAGTTATGTTTTATAAATAGTTTAAAAATTACATATTATTGAACAAGAAACAAACTGTAGTAAATTAAAAACAAGACCCAAATTTCCAAAGCAATTTGTTAATCAATAACTGAAAAACGACTCGTCGATTATTGACAAAATTTAATCAGCAAGATTCTCAAATAGAAAACGTTTGTAATGGTTTTTGAATTTTTAAAATCAATTCACTAATTAAAAATTTGAGACTTTTTTGAAAATTCTAAAGGCAAAACTAAGCAGCACGAGTGCTTATCGAATTTACGAATTTTGACGATTTTTCAAATGGGATTGTGCATTTTTGAGAAAATGTCGACTAAAGATGAAATTTTGACTCACGTAAAAAGCGCCGCTCATTTTTGCAATCTTTGATAGTACATATTTTAAAAATTAAAATGACTTAATGTGGGTCGAAATATTTAGTTATCTCAGAGACCATGATCACTATCGCCAAAAAAGTTTTATAAATATCATCGTAAGTAATATTCACCAATTAAACACGAAGAAACGAACCGACCGATCTGTTAGAACTAATCAGCACGATTCCTAAATGATATCTTTCAAACAGTTCCTGAATTTTTAAAATCGATGCAGAATTTTTGGCTAAAACGTGTACAATAATTTTATATTTTTTCTGTTGATTAGAAACAGCTTGGCCGATCGTCGCACAAAACTGACAGGCGCTAGTCATTATCTAGTTACATTAAATGACTTTTAAAGTTTTGAATTGGATTTAACCGTTTTTGAGAAAACGTTGCCGAAAATTCAAAAATCGGCTTTCAAACGATTCAGAATGACTTAAAATGTCGAGAAAACTTGAAAATTACAAGACGATTTTTTTCGTGAGAACATATTGGATATTTTCCTATTATGCTATTTTTAAGGGCGGCCATTTATATGCTCGCACGCAGGCGGCCACATACCTGCCAATTATTACTATTTACCGCACGGCACAGCTTTAGCCAATGCCTTATTAAATGACATAGAGAAAAGATTTGGACCACTCGTGAATGATGAACAGTGCCAACATGTTCAAAAGACTTGTTCAACGATGCTGCATTCCTCGGGGAACAGATATTCATAAATCAATTTATTAAATACAATACTGCTATACCCTCAAGCGCTGCAGTTGAACGTTTGTTTTCCACGGGTAAAGACATTTTGACACCAAAACGAGCCTCGCTTTCAGACGAAAACTTCAACATGTTAATGTTCATGAAGGGGAATATGCACCTTATGCCCGACGCTTAACCCGTCGCGCGTTTCCTATTTTTCGCAAAAAAACTCTTTCCCTTTATTTAGAAAAAAATTCTTGTAAAAACAATATGCAATCATAAAAACAGAAAGTTGACCAATAGCGTTATTATCACGGTGTGTGCATAAAGCGCGTCGCGCCATTAAGGGGTTGAATTACACATTTGAATTATACAAGTATTTTGTTTTATTCATAACCTGTTAACTTCCAGAACCTAAACCAATAAGTTTTTTAAGTTCACTAACGCAACAATATAAAAATGTAATTTTATACATATTAACGGATTAACGATTAACGTTAACTTGCGTTAATTATTCCGAAATGTAACGCTTTAACGTTTAACGAAGCTAACTTTTTTTGTAGCGGATTAACGATTAACGAAGTTAACTTTTTGATTAACGGTGCCCAGCTATGTTATATATATATATATATATATATATATATATATATATATATATACTAGCAAACCCGACAAACTCCGTTTCGCCACCAGATGGTTTTGCGAGAAAGATGAAGAACTTTTTTGTTTGTTTTATATTTGAAAAGGAAAAATGTGATTTTATTACACAACAGTAATGAATTTATTTCAATTACAAAAATGATGTATTTTTTAGTTGAACTTCTCTAAGTAAATGATAGTGAATTCGCAAATTATCCGTTTCATTGAAGTGCTCTTTGGTAAACCACATTTTTTGTTTTTTGATCTGCGACGTTAACACAAACAAAGCGGATGGTTTTCTAACTCGCGTGCAGGCAACGTATAACTGTCCATGTGAAAAACAATGATTTTCTAAATAATCTATTTGAAATTTATCCCGCAAACACTAAGCGATTGGCCTTGCGACTTGTCATTGCGAACGCAAGGCGAACTGGAAATTGCAATCGTTTGAAGTCAAACGGAAGACCAGTCGGAATCATTGGTATGTCACCAAATCGCCAGCAATTTTTGATTGAATTGTGAAATTCAGTGCGTGTACATCATTATTCTTTGCGGCAAGAATTGCTCGTTGACTTAACCAAGCATAATTCTGATAATTCTCACTAATGTCATTACTCAAATTTTTAATTACTGTGCGTGAAGTTCGAGCAATTTGCATTAAGGCACGATGCCATGCACCACTAATTTTCTTAGCTATAAACCTTGCGGAGCCCGAGACCTTTCCAACGAATGCAAAATTGTCGAAATCGGTTCGTGCGTTCTGGAGTTATTTCGTCAGGAAGGAAAACCCGACTTATTTTTATATATATAGAAGATATATATATATATATATATATATATATATGTGTGTGTGTGTGTGTGTGTGTGTGTGTGTGTAATTCCTATATATAGTATGACCATTATAAAAATATTTGTACAATTCCAGAACATGTCACCAGTATGTCCAGATTTCATTGTAACTCAGGCACCAATGTCCAATACATTGGCCGATTTTTGGTCAATGGTGTGGAATGAAAATATCGAGACAATCGCCTGTTTGTTAAATTCGAACGAAGTGAGTAACTGAATTTATAATAGTGGCATATAGTACTCTAGAAAACAATAGTTACAAGCTATTTAACTAATGATTTTCTCTTTAGCTCGATGTGGTGTATTTTCCAACACAAAAAGATTCCTCGGAAATATTCGGAGATTATAAGATAACTTTGCAAACAATATCCGAGAACGAAGTCTGCATTGAGCGTGTGATGTCCATTAAGGGACACAGAGATAAACCGCCAAGAGATTTTTTGCATCTTCAAATCAAATCAACGCCTTCAAGGTAATATAAAATAAAATCAAACTATGCATTTAACTAAAAATTCCACTAAACCCTGATTTTGTTTTTCAGTTGTGAGCCGATATGTGGATTCGCAGACAAAATAGTATCTTGTTATCAGAAACAACATTCGATAAGTCATCCTGTTCTTCTTCACTGCTTAAATGGGAACAATGTGTGCGGAATGTTTGCGTATACAATTTGTTCCATTGCAAATTCAAAAATGTCAGCACCCTGTCTTTTAGGTAAATTTGAAATTTTAATAGACTTGCAAATATTTAACCCTCCGTCGGTCGGATATTTTTTCACCTTCGAACGGTCGGAAAGGTCTGGCTGGACCACTATTCATTTTACATGCATTTATATGGGATAAATGAGTTTTTGGTGTCTTATGTATTAACGATTATATTAGTAGTAAATATTTATAGTTTTGATTTTTTCTTTTTCTTACCGTATTTTGCATGTATTGAGCTTGCTTATAATAAAAATATTACATATTATATTATATTAAAAGAATCAAGAAATATAAAAAAATCGTTACTTTTTTTGTTAATTTTGCTGTTTTATATCAATGAAAAACAATATTTATTCTTTTTCGGCGCCTTTGAAATGAATGTGAAATTCAAATGAAAACGAAATGAGGTGCGTCGCCTTTGAAATGAGCTGTAAAACTTAAAGTGAAAATATAATTTCACTACAGCTTTGCCAAAAAAAAAAAAATTTCGAACGCAGTACGGGTAGAAAAATTGTTGATAATGTGTGCATTACTCATCCGATTTTCAGTGTTTGCGATTACCAATAAGTTTGGTAGGTTTTCAAGGAATTCTCGTCATGAAAATACTAACATTCATGTTACAACACATAGCAAAGAATATATACAACGCAGTTTGAATAGAAAATACCATGAAAAAAGACAAAATACTGGTTTACATATAATATATCAAAAAGCGTATATTTGTTTGTGGTGGTCTAGACAGACCTTTCCGATCGTTCGAAGTATAAAAAAGTCCTTATAATTATCCTTCTGTACATTTTTTCGTCCTGATTTGTTCATTGATCGACAGCTAATGAAATTTTAGGAAAAGTCAAGAAATTTCAAGTCGATAGGATTACTAGAAGTATTTTTTTTTTAATTGAAGTCGAAAAAAGTCTGGCCAGACCACGCCGACCGACGGAGGGTTAAATTCATGAAATAATTAGAATTGAATTTTACGAATCCCATTGTCATTTCAAGTTTATAAGAGGTTAATTTATATTATTTTATGCAATATTTGCAGTACCTTCGATTTTTTTTTTTTTTTTGAAAATACTCAACTTTTCGGAAAATTGGGAGATTTTTGAAAAAATACGACTTGAGTAAGTTTGAAATTTTTTGAAACTTTGGCAAAAAAAAATCGACTATTTTAAAAGTTGACAAAACTCGATTTTTTCGGAAATTTTGAATTTTTGAAAGAAATAGTTTTTCTTTATTTTTAATTAATATGTTTTAATATTTTAACTTTTTGAGAAATTTGATTTTGAAAGTTGATGAATCTCGCTTTTTGAAATTTTTTGAATTTTTTTGAGAAATTTGAATTTATTTGAAGAAAAGATTTTTTTCGTACATCTTGAATCTTTCTGAGACTTTCGAAAAAAATCAATCTGTTTCGAAGATTTTGTTGGTTATGATGTTTCGAGAACCTGACTGATTTGTTAAATAATTTTGAATTTTTTGAAAAAATTATATTTTTTAAACATTTAAACTTTTTGAGAAATTTGATTTTATTTCAAAATTTAGATTATAATACTTATTTAATTAGAAACAAATCGATACTTTTGAAAGTTTAGAATTTTTTTTAACATTAAGATTGAAAAAGGGCGTTTTTTTCTTGAAAATTTTGAAAAAAAAACACTTTTTGAGGATTCTGATTTATTTTAAACTATTGAAAAGAAATCGTCTTTTTGATACTTGAAAAAACTTGATAATTTGAAATAATTTCGAAAGTTTAAACATTTTTTAAACAATTCGATTGACAGAAGTCGTTTTTTTTTAGAAAAGTCTTTTTAAGAAGTTTGATATTTTTTAAAGTTTTGAATTATTGGGAAAATTTTAATTTTTTTTATTAGGAAAATTTGAATTTTTCCCTAATTTTGATTTTTTTTTTATTAGAAAAATTTGAACTATATAGAAACTTTTGATAAAAAGATTTTTTTTTAAATTTGTTTTTTTAATGTGTTGAAAATCTTACTGATTTGTTGGAGATTATCGAAGTTTTTGAAAACTCGACATTTTTTTTAAAAATGTGGAAACAATAGATCTTGTGGAAACTTTTGAATGAACTCGACTTTTGAGAAATCTTCTAAAAATACCGATTTTTTTTAAACCTTTTTTTTTGAAAATTATATTTGATAAAAATCGACTTTTTAGAACATTTTCAAATTTTTGCAAACTTAACTTTTTGAAAATAATAATTTTTTGTAACTTGAAAAAATCGACTTTTTGAAAACTCGCCTTTTTATGAAAATTTGAAAAAATACTTTTTGGAAATTTTTGAAATTCGACTTTTGATATTTTTTAAAAATTTTAATTTTTTTGAAACCCTTGCAAATATGTTTTTTTTTTAGAATTATATTCCTTTTGAAATTTTGATAAAAAACAACATTTTAGAACACTTTCAAATTTTTGCAAAATTTTGACTTCTGAAAATATTGATTTATTTTTTTGTAATTTGAAAAAATGGACTTTTTGGTAGTTTTTTTTTTTTTTTTTAATTAAATGTTAGGACATTTCGCTGAACTATATTTATTTGAAAAAAAGATTTTTTTTGTAAATCTTGAATCTTTTTGAGACTTTTGAAAAAAAAAACAATCTGTTTTGGAGATTTTGTTGGTTTTGATGTTTCGAAAACCTGACTGATTTGTTAGATAATTCTGAATTTTTTTTCCCAAAAAATCATAGTCCATGGTTTTTTTTTTGACAATTTTTTTTCCCCAAAATTTTTTTCCCAAAAATTTTTATCCCAAAAAATCAAAGATTAGTTTTTCCCCCGAAATCTTTTGTCTCAATTTTTTTGTACAAATTTTTTATCACGAAATTTTTTGTCCAAATTTTTTTTTGTCCAAAATTTTTTTTGTCCAAAATTTTTTTGTCCAAAATTTTTTGGCCCAAAATTTGTCCCAAACTTTGTCCAAAGTTTTTGTCCAAATTGAGTCACTTATAAGTGAACATTATAAGTTTTCAAAGAAATGGAAATAAAATTTATACACATTATTAAAATATTTGATTTGAAATTTCGAATATTTATTTTTCGACAGATTTTTGTACTTTTTTTTTATTAGATCTCCGAAACCGCTAGACCTGCCTTACCAAAAAATTGTATCAATTATTTATTCCGTTATTGAATCATTCAAAGAGAAAAAATTATCATGCATTTTAAAATTAAAAGACTTCACCTTTTACGATTGATCATTTTTCAATTGATGTATTTACAGATTCGTCGAATATTTGTCATTTGCTTTGCTCTCAAAGAAAAGGAATGATTCGAGATCGACATTATTTGTTGCTAGCGATGGAAGCAGAAGTTCATAACGCCAGAGCATTATTAAATAGACGTAAGTTTTTATAAATTCATCACGTAATTATGTAATAATATCAACCATTCTTATAATTCATTTTCTCTTAGATAATCTAATGACTTCCTATCAAATTCAGAATAAATCTAAGAATACTATTCCACCTCCGCAAGAAGTCTTAGTTAAAGACCCACTTGCTGATTTAGATCCGCTGTGGAAAATTAGAAAGACGTAAAGTAATATATTGTTTATTATTCTATTCAAAATTGATATTTTATAACATTTTTCATAATTAATTATACTTATTATATATTAGTTTTACTACGCTATATATTAAACCATAGTCATGCATTGAACAAGATATTAGGAAAAATATTTTTATTTTAGTATAATAATTATATTACAAAATTTATAATCGAAATTTGTAAATGATATGAATGAATATATAAAAAATGATTGTTAATAAGTTATTTGTGTTAAAATTGATTTTATAGATAAATTTTGTCTGGGATTTTAAATTAATTATTTATTAGCCATTTCGAAGATTCGAAGGTAAATATGTAAAAATTGGCAGTTTTTGAGAGAACTAAGCGTCCGATTTTAATGATTATGTAACTTTCTGCTTGTCTTGTCAAAATAATTGATATTGGAAAAAAAAATCCCAAAAATTTTTTTGACCAAGAATTTTTTTGACCAAAAATTTTTTTCCAAATTATTTTAGACCAAATTCTTTTGACAAAAATTTTTTTGTTTAAAAATTTTTTTGACCAAAAGTTTTTTTGGTCAACCAAAAATTTTTTTCCAAATTTTTTTTTACCAAAATTTTTTTGACCAAAAATTTTTTGGACCAAAATTTTTTTGATCAAAAATTTTTTTCCAAAAATTTTTTTGACCAAAAATTTTTTTGACCAAAAATTTTTTTTTCCAAAAATTTTTTTCACAAAATTTTTTTGGCCAAAGATCTTTTTGACCAAAATTTTTTTCTCAAAATTTTTATGACCAAAATTTTTTTCTCAAAATTTTTTTGGCCAAAGATCTTTTTGACCAAAATTTTTTTTCTCAAAATTTTTTTAACCAAAATTTTTTTGACCAAAATTTGTTTGACCAAGAATTTTTTTCCAAAAATTTTTTGATCAAAGTTTTTTGGACCAAAATTTTTTTTACCCAAATTTGTTTGACCAAAAAGCTTTTTGTCCTAAAATTTTTCTTGACCAAAATTTTTTGGAGCAAAATTTTTTTCCCAAAATTTTTTTGGCCAAAGATCTTTTTGACCAAAATTTTTTTTCTCAAATTTTTTTTGGCCAAAGATCGTTTTGACCAAAATTTTTTTTCTCAAATTTTTTTGGACCAAAATTTCTTTGAAAAATTCCGTTCGTCCGGACTTCCGATAATCCGGACCTCCGATTATACGGACTTTGGATTATCCGGACTTTGGATCATTCGGACTTTGGATTATCCGGACTTCGCATTATCAGGACTTCCGATTTTCCGGACCTTCGATTAACCAGACTTTCAATTATCCGGACTTCCGGTTATCCGGACTTCCGACCAAAATTTTTTTGATCAAAAATTTTTTTTCCGAAAATTTTTTTGACTAAAAATTTTTTTTCCAAACATTTTTTTGACCAAAATTTTTTTGATCAAAAATTTTTTTGACCAAAATCTTTTTGACCAAGAATTTTTTCCCAAAAATTTTTTTGACCGAATTTTTTTTGGCTAAGAATTTTTTACCAAAAATTTTTTTGACCAAAATTTTTTTGACCAAAATTTTTTTTGACTAAAATTTTTTTGACCAAAAATTTTATTGACCAAAATTTTTTTGACCGAAATTTTTTTGGCTAAGAATTTTTTACCAAAAATTTTTTTGACCAAAAATTTTATTGACCAAAAATTTTATTGACCAAAATTTTTTTTCCAAAATTTTTTTGACCAAAATTTTTTTGACCGAAATTTTTTTGGCCGAAATTTTTTTGGCTAAGAATTTTTTACCAAAAATTTTTTTGACCAAAATTTTTTTGACTAAAATTTTTTTGACCAAAAATTTTATTGACCAAAATTTTTTTTCCAAAATTTTTTGGACCAAGATTTTTTTGACCAAAATTTTTTTTTCCAAAGTTTTTTTGACCAAGAATTTTTTTGACCAAAATTTCCGACATTTTGATACTCCGATACTCCGACACTTCGATATTCCGACATTTCGATACTCCGATACTCCGACATTCCGACACTCCGACCAAATTTTTATTCCCCAAATTTTTTCCCCAAATTTTTTTGACCAAAATTTTTTTCCGACATTCCGATACTCCGACCAAAATTTTTGTCCCCCAAATTTTTTTGACATTTTGATATTTCGATATTTGATATTCCGACATTCCGACATTCCGATACTCCGACTAAAATTTTTTCGATTCGATATTTCGATATTCCGACATTGCGATACTCCGACATTCCGATACCCCGACATTTCGATATTCCGACACTTCGATATTCCGACACTTCGATATTCCGACATTCCGATACTCCGACATTCCGATACTCCGACATTCCGATACTCCGACATTCCGATACTCCGACATTCTGATACTCCGACATTCTGATACTCCGATACTCGGACACTTCGATACTCGGACACTTCGATACTCCGACACTTCGATACTCCGACACTCCGATACTCCGACATTCCGATACTCCGACACTCCGACATTTTTATACTCCGACACTTCGATATTCCGACATTGCGATACTCCGACACTCCGACCAAAATTTTTTTTCCCCAAATTTTTTTGACCAAAAATTTTTTTCTTAAAATTTTTTGGACCAAAATTCCAATAATCCGACATTCCGATAATCCGACATTCCGATAATCCGATACTCCGATAATCCGATACTCCGACACTCCGACCAAAATTTTTTCCCCCAAATTTTTTTGACCAAAAACTTTTTTCTTAAAATTTTTTGGACCAAAATTCCGATAATCCGACATTTCGATAATCCGACGTTCCGATACTCCGATATTCCGATACTCCGACACTCCGATACTCCGATACTCCGACACTCCGATACTCCGATACTCCGACATTCCGATACTCCGACACTCCGACCAAATTTTTATTCCCCAAATTTTTTTCCCCAAATTTTTTTGACCAAAATTTTTTTTCCTAAAATTTTTTTCTCAAATTTTTTTGGACCAAAATTTCTTTGAAAAAGTTTTTCCGATCGTCCGGACTTCCGATAATCCGGACCTTCGATTATACGGACTTTGTATTATCCGGACTTTGGATTATTCGGACTTTGGATTATCCGGACTTCGCATTATCAGGATTTCCGATTTTCCGGACTGCCGATTATCCGGACCTTCGATTATCCAGACGTTCGATTATCCGGACTTCCGGTTATCCGGACCTTCGACCAAAATTTTTTTGATCAAAAATTTTTTGGACCAAAATTCCGAAAATCCGACATTTTGATAATCCGACATTCCGATTATCCGACATTCCGATAATCCGACATTCCGATAATCCGACATTCCGATAATCCGACATTCCGATAATCCGACATTCCGACACTCCGACCAAAATTTTTTTGACCAAAAATTTTTTTCTTAAAATTTTTGGACCAAAATTCCGATAATCCGACATTTCGATAATCCGACATTCCGATACTCCGACCTTCCGACCAAAATTTTTTTCCACCAAATTTTTTTGACCAAAAATTTTTTTACCCAACATTTTTTTGATCAAGAATTTTTTTGACCAAAAATTTGTTTGACCAAAATTTTTTTGACCAGGAATTTTTTTGACTAAAAATTTTTTTGACCAAGAATTTTTTTTCAAAAATTTTTTTCTAAAAATTTTTTTGACCAAGAATTTTTTTCTAAAAATTTTTTTGACCAAAATTTTTCTGACCAAAAATTTTTCCAAAATTTGTTTGACCAAAAATTTGTTTGACCAGTTTTTTTTTGACCAAGAATTTTTTTGAACAATTTTTTTTTGACCAAA